CCTCTTCAGGCGATCCTGAGCCCTCAGATCAGATTGGTAGATGCACACAGGCTTCGTTGCAGAAATCGTTTTCATTAGCGCAATGAATCAGATGCTCGAGCCTCTGCCATGCACCTCTTCTGCTTACGGGCGATGCTGCGGGTCTGGGAAAGGCCGTAGCAGCGTTGGTGTTGAATCGTGTTCCTCGGGTTCATAGGCCAGCAACGCAGTTTGATGTGATGAGCCCTTGATCCCCAGTTTCGCATGTTTCATCGATCAAGAGCAGGTCCTCGCAGCTTCTGGCTCCACGCTTCAAGCTAGGAAGCCTTGAAAAGCCGTGCCGACAGGAAACCCTCAGCGAATCGGTAGGTTTATGCGCCAAGTTTCGCGTGCCAAGGACACCACTAAGACCCAGTTTCCTCAGTTTCCTCACCACTTTTGCCGGCAATTTAGCGCGCGATCGCCCAAGCATCCAGAGCAGGGCGAACAATTTCAGCAGAGCAACCCATTGCCATCGCATGCCCTCCTGTAGTTCTGAAGTCCTCGAGCTCATCCTGGGTAATCCCCACACAGCAATGAAGGGAAGCCATCCCCATCCCCGAAGCCCTCAGCCGTGTGGCTGCCTACGATTTTTTCAACATCAAGCAATCCCGGATGCAGATGTGTGGCCTGGCAGGATTCATTGGTTTCGGAGAGCCAGGATCCACTAAAACCAGCGGCAAAACCCTCGAGTCTGTCACGTGCACCCCACTTACTCAGTACTTTTCGGCCGAAGTTCTACATTTCCCAAAGTAAGTATGAACTTGAGAATTGCAGGCCAAGGGGCAGGAAGAAACTACCGATGACAGGATTTGTTCATGAGTTTCATATCGGCCATACAGCTCTGAAGCAGATATGGCGGGATGCCTTCAGCTTAAGAACATGGTGCCCTCCACTGGAGCCTGATGCGAATGCCCTTACGTAGAGGAAGATCCATTCGGTTCAGCAAGGATGCTTGCCGTGAGGGGAATGTCAGCGAGGATGCAAAAGCTTACTCTAGACTGACATTTCACTGAGATGTCATGAAGGAGCTCTTGGTTTCGGATTCAGTCTAGGAAGACAACATGCAGGTGACTCCTGCCAGTTTTGACTTGCTTCAGGGCTTTGTTACTGCCGATCTGCAGTTCGCAGTGGAGTGAGTGAGTGCGTGAGTGCATGCGTCCGCGTGCGTGAGTGAGTGAGTGAGTGAGTGAGTGAGATCACGGCAGAGCGCGAGAGAGAGAGGAAGTGAGTATTACATAATCTCAAGTCTCAAACCGCTAGGTTTCTCGATGATTGTAACTTAAATGGCATTTGGCATCAACTTAAGACCAACAAGTAGGACCTGGACTTGAAGCCGTTCTGAAACGCCGAGAAGGCTTGGAGTCTGACCCAGGCAGCCCCAGCTCTGACAATCAGGCGTCGACGTCGGCTCCCCAGAGCTTGAGAAAACAGCCTTCAAGCTTCGGCATCTTCCGATGTTTGCGGCCTCCAAGCTCTCGAAGCGCGTATGTGAAGTGGGGTCTGTCTTATGGCAATGGTGAAGGCAAGACTGAGAAGGGTTTTCCAGTAGCGGCAAGTGCGAGATTTCCTGTTAGTAATGCCAGCAACTTACAGGCCCGCTGTCATGCAAGATTCAGAGAAATCGTTCTCGCAGCACGGCACCCGGAAACCAACACCTTCAACCCAAAAGCCACCGAAGTCTGAACCCGCAAATTATCCAGTAACTGCCATGAAGTTGGTCCTCATGCTGCAAAAAAGCCTGGGGACTGTCAGCACTAAACATCCATGTTCCAGTATCCAACATGTGCGGGTGTCCGTACGGGTTTGCAACGAGAGGGGGCGGTGGCATAGATTCAGTTTGCTTGCAGGAGCTGCGATCGTCGTTGGGCGGATCTTGATTCTGAGGCGGAGGCCCGAGTTGATGAAGGGAGCGCGGAAGCGGGAGGATAAGGATCTACCGCTCAATTCCTGGCCCGAACAGCCAGAAGCCATTAATAACTCCAGGCCCTGAGGCTGCACCCTGACATCCAGCCCTCAAGTTGGTGCAGCTCATGTTGAACTCGGATTCGAAATCTTGAACCCGAAAGCCCTGACATGGAAGCCCAGGAGCCACTCCGCAAATTCTCCGTTGAAAGACCCGTGAGATCCTTGCAGGATGTGCTAGATCACTATGACCGCGAGGAGGCAATGCGAGACGAGGGCTTGCCCTTGTCTGCTTCTTGCTTGCTCCATTTGTCCAATAGCTCTCGAATCTGCAGTGTGCCAATGCCCAACAGCAGAAGGACGAAATCACTCTCGAAAGTATCCTCGCAATGGCCCGAATGGGGTGCTCTTGTTGCCCTCTCTCTTGTGGAGCCTTCGAGCCTAAATCTGTTTGACATATGCGAAGAAGCCCGTGTATCTCCCGAGAACTTGAGCACATAAGATACCTGAATCACAGCTCGCCTCCAGCAGCCTAGCCCGAGCTATTCTACGGTGCTCTGCGGCTCCTTGTTATGAGCTCCGTCTTGCTTTGTCCCAGTCGCTGCGACTACTGGCCGTCCACAACTTCACGCACGACCGCGCCGTTGTGTTTTCAAGCTGGGGTGCGTGGTTCAGTCCAGTTCCCAAGCACCAAGCCAGAAGGTGTGTTCACTGAAAGGATCAAATTCATTTTTCAAGCCTTCCGGGCTGCGTGCATGCCGGTTTATGTATCCGCTTGGCTCGACACATCGACCTTGACCAAATAAGGGATAGAGGGGTCCTGTCGACCTGATCGGAGTTCTTCACTTCCAGGACTCACATCATATGATAGACTCTTTCTGCTGTGAAACTGGTGGTGCCCATGTAGTGCTCTTCATGCGTCCTTGTCGGACAAGGGCTGCACGATTGTTTCGGGCAACACTTGGAAGTCGGTTTAGGATCCGTCCACGACATCCGACTTGATGCGGGAAAGCCGCCACCTCACTACTTTCGCATTGGTTGCTGGCAGACTGAGAGGCCGGAGCAGGGGAATACTTGTATCCGTAGGAGTCCATTGCCCAACTGTCTTCGCAGCCGCGAGGACAACTACGATTTGCAGAGGCTCGCAAGCAAGGACGAGGCCTGTCCGAACAGAGTGGCTAGGAAGAACTGAAGACCGGGCTTCACCTCTCAGGGTTCTACACACTGATGCCAAACCCGAGGGCTGCAACCATTCCGAAGTCCTCGGACCCTTGGCACCTTGAGATCTCAAGATGGCGCTTGCGCCCAACCCTGATCCCCAAAGCCCAAGCAGCAAGCAGCCAGCAGCAAGCAGCAGCTAGACTCCAGGAGGTTTCTCCCACCGAGCAGGAGGCCTGAGCTGGAGGTTTCTTCGAGTCCGAGTCCTGCACAATGTAGTTTTGTCAGTTTTGAAGGAGTTCCAGTTCTTGTTTCCGAAGTTGACGTTTGAGGTTTCGTGCTTTGGCTAAAGGGTCGGGAAGCACCCTGAGCAATGGAACCTCAAGATCGCAGCCCCTTCTTGAATCCCATTCCTGTTCCTCACGCGGCCGCTGGGTTCGGGTGTGAGGTGTTGAAGATTCTGGAGGGCGTGCGGTGCTTCGTTTCAGAAAAACTGATTTGGTGGGTTGCACTTGATCTAACTGATGCAGCCCAGCTTGTGCAGGAAGTGTCCACGGTGTCCCCCACTGGGGACGAATGTGTGGGCGACGAGGCTACCGAGCGCGATGAGGCACCATGTGCAGGTTTCAGTGCCTCAGCATGTTGCATGGCTGTAGTGTCTTTGCAGAACCTGAAGCCTTAACGCGAAAACCTCCCTGCAATCATGTCGTGTAGTCAGGCGGTCGAAGATCGCCAGGAGATCCCGAAAGACGTCCCGGGCTTAGCCTGGTGAGGCTGTTCTGTCCGTGTCTCGAACTCATCGCATCCACACGTAAATCTAACAGCTCGTGAAGGACAGAGGTCTGAGTCCACGGCTTTCTGAGGGTCGAAGCTCCAAATGCGTTCAACGGTGTTGGATGGCAGGTCAGGGCATCTGGCGGTTTAGGGCTGCATTGACCGCAGCGAGGAGTCAGGGTTGCAGATCAAGGTGAATGGGATTGACCCATGATGAACCACTTCTTTTAGCTTGCGATCCCTTTGAAAAGTTGCGAGGGCTGACATCCCCCCAGGCGAGCGATCGAGGGGAGATCCTGAAGGATGTGCGGAGCTCGGCTGTTGTGCTTGGTTTCGAACAAGGAAGTTGAAGGTTGAAAAGGGGCTAGAGGAGTCTTTCACATAATCCGCTGCAGGGTCAAGCCCCTGATTCGGATTTGTTCAGTCTGCATTCCCTGCAGGCACTCGCTCTCGCGAGGAGACTGCGGGCTCTGGCTGCTGCAGAGGCTGCCGCTCAGGGTTTGAAAGCGTGTCTAGGCTCCCAAATTCATTACTAGCAGAACTTCGCCTCTCAACTGTCTCTGTCATTGCTCCAGCAGCGGGAAGGGTCTTAGCACAACAGCATTCGGAAACAGTAGACGCTCGGTCCCAATGGCTTCCCAGAGTCGCACCTTGCCAGTACTGGTGGCCGCTGCATGCTGCGTGGCTGTGCTTCGCAGCTTCTGGGCGCCCAGCCAGCAGACCTTTGTGGCACCTCAGCAGAGCGTCCACAT